TATTTGAGTTAATAGCAAAAAATGGGTTTTTGCTTCACAGCATGTTGTCCTAATTTCCATCTATCTCCTTAATTAAGTTATCGTATGTCCGAAGTAGGAAACGAAGCCAGGTTGTGTTGAGTGGTGCCAGAAGAAGTCAGATAACTGTAGTTCATCTTCCCAAATTTGCAAAGTTGGTCGGTGAGGAGCTATCCGTTAAATGAATTATGGGCACTAAATTTTCGACTGGTGGAGTTGCGATCCATCTCACTTGGAGCCACTTCTAAAAATTAAAAAAAAATAATAAAAAAAGGAAATTATGGAGTTACTTAGTTTTACAGAAGCATGTTTGGTTTAGTATAATCCATTTCATCTATTTAGCCGATTATAAATTCTGCATAAAAATAAATAAATAAATGCGAATAAAAATACGGGTTGCCTTCAGTCTAGACGCCCACGAAGCCTTTCCCCGACGTGATGACCCTACCAACCATCGGGACCCTACCATCACGTGATGACCCGACGTGATGACCGTTTTCCCTACCAACCATCGGGACCGACCCTACCAACCATCGGGACCTAGGCCATTGACTTCCTCGAGCTTTTTAGTTATGTGGAGTGTCGGTCAGAAAAAGGTCGTTATATTTTTACACATTTGATATATTGGTGATAAAACCATCGTTTTGGGATAGAGCTCGATGTAGCTGCTTGCCTGCACCACCATTTTGTTTCTCTCTCGGCAAATCGAGATATTATTTTCTTGCTCTTGATGTGGACATGAAGAACTAGGTGGTTGCCTTGTCTGAATTTTTGGGTTTTTGTTTATTTATTGTAATGACTTGTCTACATTTACGTTTAACGAGTGCCTCTATAATGTGTGTTTTTGAAAGAGTGATCCACATCTAATTTTATAAATATATATATATATATAGGGATTGGTTCCAATGCATCCCATTATTTAAAGTGAGGACGTGAGACTCATTCCTAGCCACAAGATTTAGATCTTGATTTAAATAATAATTCTTTATTTTTATTATTTAATTCTTTATTTTTAATTATTTAAATATTATTATGACCATTGACCATTGACTCCGGCGTTGACCGTTGACTTCTGGCGTTGACTTCCGGCGAAAATCGTTGACTTTCGGCGTTGACCGTTGACTTCCGGCGTTGACTTCCGACGTTGACCGTTGACCATTTGTCTTTTGTTATGTTGTTTCTTTCTTGCTAGGTTAGTTGTATTTTGTTGCTAGGTTAGTTGTTTGTTGTTGCTAGGTTAGTTATTTGTAGCTGCTAGGTTAGTTGAGTTTCGTTGCTAGGTTAGTTGTCTTTTGTTGCTAGGTTATTTTTTTTTCTTGCTGCTAGGTTAGTTGTCTTTTGTTGCTAGGTTAGTTCTTTCTTGCTGCTAGGTTAGTTGTCTTTTGTTGCTAGGTTATTTCTTTCTTGCTGCTAGGTTAGTTGTCTTTTGTTGCTAGGTTATTTCTTTCTTGCTGCTAGGTTAGTTGTCTTTTGTTGCTAGGTTATTTCTTTCTTGCTGCTAGGTTAGTTGTCTTTTGTTGCTAGGTTATTTCTTTCTTGCTGCTAGGTTAGTTGTCTTTTGTTGCTAGGTTATTTCTTTCTTGCTGCTAGGTTAGTTGTCTTTTGTTGCTAGGTTATTTCTTTCTTGCTGCTAGGTTAGTTGTCTTTTGTTGCTAGGTTATTTCTTTCTTGCTGCTAGGTTAGTTGTCTTTTGTTGCTAGGTTATTTCTTTCTTGCTGCTAGGTTAGTTGTCTTTTGTTGCTAGGTTATTTCTTTCTTGCTGCTAGGTTAGTTGTCTTTTGTTGCTAGGTTATTTCTTTCTTGCTGCTAGGTTAGTTGTCTTTTGTTGCTAGGTTATTTCTTTCTTGCTGCTAGGTTAGTTGTCTTTTGTTGCTAGGTTATTTCTTTCTTGCTGCTAGGTTAGTTGTCTTTTGTTGCTAGGTTATTTCTTTCTTGCTGCTAGGTTAGTTGTCTTTTGTTGCTAGGTTATTTCTTTCTTGCTGCTAGGTTAGTTGTCTTTTGTTGCTAGGTTATTTCTTTCTTGCTGCTAGGTTAGTTGTCTTTTGTTGCTAGGTTATTTCTTTCTTGCTGCTAGGTTAGTTGTCTTTTGTTGCTAGGTTATTTCTTTCTTGCTGCTAGGTTAGTTGTCTTTTGTTGCTAGGTTATTTCTTTCTTGCTGCTAGGTTAGTTGTCTTTTGTTGCTAGGTTATTTCTTTCTTGCTGCTAGGTTAGTTGTCTTTTGTTGCTAGGTTATTTCTTTCTTGCTGCTAGGTTAGTTGTCTTTTGTTGCTAGGTTATTTCTTTCTTGCTGCTAGGTTAGTTGTCTTTTGTTGCTAGGTTATTTCTTTCTTGCTGCTAGGTTAGTTGTCTTTTGTTGCTAGGTTATTTCTTTCTTGCTGCTAGGTTAGTTGTCTTTTGTTGCTAGGTTATTTCTTTCTTGCTGCTAGGTTAGTTGTCTTTTGTTGCTAGGTTATTTCTTTCTTGCTGCTAGGTTAGTTGTCTTTTGTTGCTAGGTTATTTCTTTCTTGCTGCTAGGTTAGTTGTCTTTTGTTGCTAGGTTATTTCTTTCTTGCTGCTAGGTTAGTTGTCTTTTGTTGCTAGGTTATTTCTTTCTTGCTGCTAGGTTAGTTGTCTTTTGTTGCTAGGTTATTTCTTTCTTGCTGCTAGGTTAGTTGTCTTTTGTTGCTAGGTTATTTCTTTCTTGCTGCTAGGTTAGTTGTCTTTTGTTGCTAGGTTATTTCTTTCTTGCTGCTAGGTTAGTTGTCTTTTGTTGCTAGGTTATTTCTTTCTTGCTGCTAGGTTAGTTGTCTTTTGTTGCTAGGTTATTTCTTTCTTGCTGCTAGGTTAGTTGTCTTTTGTTGCTAGGTTATTTCTTTCTTGCTGCTAGGTTAGTTGTCTTTTGTTGCTAGGTTATTTCTTTCTTGCTGCTAGGTTAGTTGTCTTTTGTTGCTAGGTTATTTCTTTCTTGCTGCTAGGTTAGTTGTCTTTTGTTGCTAGGTTATTTCTTTCTTGCTGCTAGGTTAGTTGTCTTTTGTTGCTAGGTTATTTCTTTCTTGCTGCTAGGTTAGTTGTCTTTTGTTGCTAGGTTATTTCTTTCTTGCTGCTAGGTTAGTTGTCTTTTGTTGCTAGGTTATTTCTTTCTTGCTGCTAGGTTAGTTGTCTTTTGTTGCTAGGTTATTTCTTTCTTGCTGCTAGGTTAGTTGTCTTTTGTTGCTAGGTTATTTCTTTCTTGCTGCTAGGTTAGTTGTCTTTTGTTGCTAGGTTATTTCTTTCTTGCTGCTAGGTTAGTTGTCTTTTGTTGCTAGGTTATTTCTTTCTTGCTGCTAGGTTAGTTGTCTTTTGTTGCTAGGTTATTTCTTTCTTGCTGCTAGGTTAGTTGTCTTTTGTTGCTAGGTTATTTCTTTCTTGCTGCTAGGTTAGTTGTCTTTTGTTGCTAGGTTATTTCTTTCTTGCTGCTAGGTTAGTTGTCTTTTGTTGCTAGGTTATTTCTTTCTTGCTGCTAGGTTAGTTGTCTTTTGTTGCTAGGTTATTTCTTTCTTGCTGCTAGGTTAGTTGTCTTTTGTTGCTAGGTTATTTCTTTCTTGCTGCTAGGTTAGTTGTCTTTTGTTGCTAGGTTATTTCTTTCTTGCTGCTAGGTTAGTTGTCTTTTGTTGCTAGGTTATTTCTTTCTTGCTGCTAGGTTAGTTGTCTTTTGTTGCTAGGTTATTTCTTTCTTGCTGCTAGGTTAGTTGTCTTTTGTTGCTAGGTTATTTCTTTCTTGCTGCTAGGTTAGTTGTCTTTTGTTGCTAGGTTATTTCTTTCTTGCTGCTAGGTTAGTTGTCTTTTGTTGCTAGGTTATTTCTTTCTTGCTGCTAGGTTAGTTGTCTTTTGTTGCTAGGTTATTTCTTTCTTGCTGCTAGGTTAGTTGTCTTTTGTTGCTAGGTTATTTCTTTCTTGCTGCTAGGTTAGTTGTCTTTTGTTGCTAGGTTATTTCTTTCTTGCTGCTAGGTTAGTTGTGTTTTGTTGCTAGGTTAGTTGTCTTTGTTGCTAGTTTAGTTGTTCTTTTTTGTTGCTAGGTTAGTTGTGTTTTGTTGCTAGGTTAGTTGTCTTTGTTGCTAGTTTAGTTGTTCTTTCTTGCTGCTAGGTTAGTTGTGTTTTGTTGCTAGGTTAGTTGTGTTTTGTTGCTAGGTTAGTTGTCTGATGCTGCTAAGTTAGTTGTGTTTTGTTACTAGGTTAGTTGTCTGATGTTGCTAAGTTAGTTGTATGCTAGGTTATTTCTTTCTTGCTGCTAGGTTAGTTGTCTGATGCTGCTAGGTTAGTTGTGTTTTGTTGCTAGGTTAGTTGTCTGATGCTACTAAGTTAGTTGTGTTTTGTTGCTTAGTTGTCTGATGTTGCTAAGTTAGTTGTATTTTTTTTTTATAAAAAAATTTGTAACCCATAGGATTTGAACCTGGTACCTCATGGAAGGAAGACAAGCAATGCAACCACTACACCACTCAAGGTTGGTGTTTTTTGTTGCTAGGTTATTTATTTCAATGTAACGGGTCAACGCCGGAAGTCAACGGTCAACGCCAGAAGTCAACAATTCTCGCCGGAAGTCAACGGTCAACGCCGAAGTCAACTAATAATTATTTTATTATTTAATTAATATATATTTTAATTAAATTTGATCTAGACAAAATGAGTGGCTAAGATTGAGTCTCACGTACTCATTTTAAGGAGTGGTCTCATTGGATCCATCCTCTATATATATATATATATAATTATAGTCATTTTCTATGACGATGAATAAATATAATTTAATTTTTTTTTTTTACCTCTCAGTTATCAATTGTTCTGTTACCGTTCAATTTTGTGAAAACGTCATAAATATATGCTTTGTTCTGTTTATTTTGAGAGTGATTGAGTAGATTTTTATTTTTTTCTACAATTTGGGTAAACTTAGGTATTGTCATTAGTTATTGCTAATTAGCCATAAAAAATCACAGTGGACTAGTGAAAACTTCACTCGTAAACAAAGGGGACAAAAAGATAAAAGCGTGTCCAAAATGTTTCCTTGGTCAGAAAACAAAATATTTATATCTAAAATCACGTAAAATAGTTTACATCTCAACTCAAAATGTTCGAAAGAAGGGAAGAAAAAAGCTTCCGAAAAAGAGGAAAAATAAAAAGAAAAAAAATGTAGCTACATTAGATAAGACAACGAGTAAAGATCTTTAGACCAATCCTACACAAGAGGAAGAATATCGCAACTACCAACAGTACACAACAAAGAAAGCATGGACGTTTGTCAAAATGCAATAAGGTGGTAATCAGTACTATTATAGTTACATTTTAACCAAAAAAGAAATCCTAGGAAAGCAAATGTTAGCCCTTATTTCATTGTAGATGTGATCTTTGTGTTATAATCTATTTTGAAGCACATGTTGTCATAAAAATGAGTGTTGCTCCTCTAATGTCATGTTTAGATCTGGAAGCACATACTTTGTGTTCGGTTCATAAGACCCGTCTGATTTTAAGGGTTGTGATCTCACGGTTTTGTCCAAGACGATTGCGCCAGCTGTCGCCATCTCATCATATTGCTCCAAAATTGATTCTTTAGCTTGCAATTCAATCTGTATTACAAGAATAATGTCAGAGAGAGAGAGAGAGAGAGAGAGAGAGAGAGAGAGAGAGAGAGAGAAGTCCATGAGAATAATAGCAAAGGCCAATTACAAAAACGACAACTAACTGAGTTCTGGCCTGATTATGAAGCAAATTCAAATACAATCCAAACATACAATAAACACGAAACAATTGAGGAAGTACTCATAGAAAGCCGAGATAAGCATAAGAAATAGGTTTCATACACGCAACTCTGTAAAATTCGAAATTCAGTTGCCACTTCGCAACATGCTAAAAAAGGGAACAAAGTAACGAAACAAGACATTGGTAAAGTTGAAGGTAAATCATTTAGGGTGCACAAAGAATTTGAGAAGCACAAAAAATGGANTCAATCAACTTCATCAGGAATTTGAGAAAGGACAAAACGAAAAAGAAGAAGATAACTTTTACCTTGATTCTTTTCAAATTTTCATTTGAGGCCCTTTGCTTCTCGAAACTCAAGCGCAAAGCAGCTAATTGCTGAGAAGTCAAATGTGATTATAATGTAAGCATTTTGAGCAATATATAATTTATTTTGATTGTCACAATTTGGAATACCCTTTTCAGCTGTCTTCTTTCCTTTAGGAGTGTGCTCTCGTCATCTTTGAGTTCTGCTAAAGTCTGTGAGTGACCCAAAATTTTTCTTTAAGTAAATTACAAAATGAATTTGATCAATCTATTTTCCGGAGAAGCTGCATAAACCTAAAAAAGTTCACCTTCTTCTTTTTTGTCCTTCTTGAGGCAAGTCTCTCACTATCACCGTTAACCTGCAGCACAAATTAGAAACAGCACCATATTCAGTGAAAATTTATAGTCTCAAGGAAATTGCGTATAGATAATAAACATCATACTTTGAAACATGAACTTCCATACAAGGATCATTAGCAGAATATCATTTNAAAAAAAAAAAAAAAAAAGATTAAGCAAAACCAACAATCAATACATTCTATTTCGACTAACACAGCAATAATCAATGGCAAGCCCTCGATTTCACCTTATCGATAACTTCTATTAACATGTACAGATATGCATAACTCACATCAACAAATTTTAAATGAAACGACTTAGTAGTGTTTGTTGGGAAAATGGAATCTTTTGCTATGTGCATGTACAAATTCACAGATCACCAAAAAAAGAAGTACTTAGTGGCCGTTGCAACTTTATAAACACATCATCAATTATGGCTACGAAATTCGTAAACAAGAAAACACCGAAAATACTAAGGTTGTCGAGTACCCGGCAAATGACTCCTCTTGCCTTCATTTCAGGGCCATCGGGATCAAGATTATAAATTTATATACGGGAAGGAAAGTAGTGAAGTAGGGGAAAAAGAAAGAATGACATGGATAAGAGAAGGAAATTTCTGAGTGGTGAGTTTGAAGGAACCTAATATTAAGTAACAAGTCAATTTATATTTGGCAATATTATTGCAAAGTTCACAACAGATTGATTTTGTGACAAAATTATGGTCCCCCCACCTCCAACCACAAGGCCAAGGAAAATCCACACCATACAGATTCTTACACATTTCCCACCAAATGGCACTTTCTACACTTTTCTTTTTTTCTGTTTCTTATTTTGCCTTTTACCCCAATAGCCATCTCAGATACATTGCACATTTAATTTGAAACCCCACCTTTTCTTGGACCCACAAAAGAGAAGGAATATCCAACAAATTATAAAAAAATATATATATAAGAGGAGATTGCAAGCAAGACTTAACCCTAAGGATTTTTTTTTTTTTTTTTCTAAATTATAAATGAATATAGAATATACAGTCCACTAAACTTCTGAAATTTCATATACACCCTTCAAGGGATGTATTTGTTACAAGAACCTGTATTCGACAGTCACAAGTTATAAAACAGAAACATAGGCAAGTGGGTTTATGCCAAACCACAACAATAAGAGTATGGCCTGCAGTTACACATAAGAAAGGATTTACCTTTTTTGAACTTTAAAGAAAAAAACCCAAAAGTAAAAGTAAAGACAAATCCCATGTTTGAGCACTATGTGATGCAAGAAATAGAAATCCCTAAGCTGCTATCCACCATCTTTTAACCCTCTTCCCAACATTAAAATATAAAAAAGTTTATCTTAACTTTCGACACAGTCAAGGCGATAGTAGAAACACTAACAAAGAAACCTCCCCCACCACACACACGTAAAATAAAACTAAGTAAATATAACAAACGCAAAGCTCTTTTTTCTTTTGCAGAAATAAAAGTGCCTGGTTTGTGTCAAACCTTAAATTTTTGTGTTATGCTAACTGAATGTAGGTACCACTACTAACAAAAAATAAAATTTAACTTATTTGGTGCAGATATTTATTTGAAAACGAAAAATAATGGATCCGTCAACAGAGTATTTGTGATTGTGGATAGTATAATTAGAACTTGTTGCAAAAAAATTATTTATTTAATTTTTTAATTTTGGGGCAATGGGAAAAAGATAATGAAAACGTTGGCTACGACTCATGTACAGATGTCATGATATGGTTGGAAGAAAATGACAAGACAATTGTGGTTAGTGTCACAGTACAACCATACATACATAAGAAGAGAGGCACGCTAGGTCAACTGCTCCCCACCGCACTAGATTATGTCCCTTTGCACAATTATATTTTCTTTGTAAAATATATTAATCCCTCCATTTTGAAATATAAGGCGTATAAAAATTTCTCATTTTTTTTGAAATATAAGGCGCGCTCAAAAATCAAGACAAATTTTTTGCATTTTTTCTAAATATACCCTCATGGTGTTGAAATTAAGGAAGTGTGGAGTGGTTGTGATTAGAGTAAATAAGGTTAATTTAGTCAATTTATTCATTAATTAATGTCTCCTTAATCTTTGTGCAATAACCTTAAATGCCTTATATTTCAAAATGGAGGGAGTACTGTTTACTACACAGGAGGAACAGAAAAAGGGGACACTTTGAATAGAATAGAAGAGAATAATATAATAATGGGTAAGGCTACAATCCCGTTACGGAACCATTTCGTTGGGATTTGTAACCGTTAGATCAAGCATCATTGACGGTTACTTGATGATCTAACGGTTACAATCCCAACGGAATGATTCCGTAACGGGATTGTAGCATTTTCTTATAATAATAATAATAATAAATTATAAAAGCGCACAACCACTTAACAACGCTCCCCACCAAACTGAAGCACAACACCAATATATGTTTTTGCCACGAAAACACGCCACCGCTTAACCAGGGGACACCGCTTCCTCCCAATTTACTTAAATACCCATATCACTAACCCTCGACTGGAAAAAGAAAAACGGTCTAGTTAACTAAAGTGTAATACTCGAGTCCTCATCATTTTTCATTTTTCTCCCAACATTTAATGCTATCACCATCCTAATTAGCGCAATTAATTACCACAAATCTGTTGCGATTCATCTATACTCACGAAATTCGCACTCATTCTTTATTTGATCTATATACTAAAAAATGAGCTCTTGATTTCATATCTTTTAGAGTAACGGGATATCGTTCTCTGTAATTAGATTATTATAACTATTACTGTAGCTATATTCAAAGTTTAATAGAAAAATAAAGAAGCCACCTAATCCTGTTAGTTAAAAAAGGGGTAAAGTGGACGCTTATTTGGGTGGAGAAAATTTGACCTAATCGAAACTTTTGTTTTGGTGGAGCTTATTATGCTATTTACTGTTGCTGACCTGAGAAATGGAGTTGGCTAAAAGTGAGGGACGAGGTCATTTTTGTCAAGTTAATAATTAAGGCTGTGGACAGGAAAGCAAAAAGTGGTGAGTGACACATTGATTCAATCTCTCTCGTCTCGTCTCGTCTCGTGACCACACGCCTTCAAACGTTGTTCTCTTTTTCGGTTTCCTCCTTTTGTGTCTGATTCCGAAAGTACAAAGAAAATGACGGAAATACCCCCGGAGTAGACTCCGGGTTAGAAACTGTCAACTGAAAAGACGGTGACTGATGAGATGACGAGGAGGAGAAGAAGCAAACAAAAAAATAAAAAATAAAAATGAAAGAAAATAGGCGGCCGTCTGACTTGTTCCACCCACAACGTAAATATCCAACTCCCTCAGGGGTATTACTGCCAATTATTACCCCAATTCCCAACAGGATAAACAATTAACAAAACACGCACATACACACCTCCGGCCGAATAATTCGAAAAGTAGGCACATAAAACAAGGGCGGGTACGTACAAACCTTAGATCTCGGCGGTTTAAGGACGGCCGGCGTGCTGGAGCCCTCGTCGCCGGCGCCGCCAGATCCGCCGCTGAGGGAGGTCGCGCCGCTCCAGGACAGCGGCGTGGTGGGGCTGCCTCGCTGGGACTGCTTCTTCGGGACCGACACCGGCCTCGAGCGGCGCTGCCGGACGCTCCAATCGAGCGGCGGCGCCGGAGGAGGCGCGGCGGCGTCTTGGAGGCGCAGGAGGAAGTCCACCACCATGGTGTCGTCGGACATGGCGGCTTTAACCCACTGCTCCTCGGGGCCACTCATATTCTTTTTTAGAATTGATTTTGGGTTTAGAGTGAGAAAGTAGGGGAGGAGGGTTTGGGTTTGGAGATATGAAAAGGGGGAAATGGAAAATGGGGAGGTGGCAAAGGAAATGCTATGGGAGGCAAAGATATAAATTACTGTGCACTTTTATTGTTTTTATAAATAAAAATAATATAATAAATAGTTATATATAGGTGAAGGGAGGACCAGAAGCATGACATGAGTGTCATACACACACTTGTTTGTGTGTGAAGATGCGTATTGACGACTGCGTCTGCTGTGTGTGCGTGCCTAGGAAATAGAGGAATATAAGATATAATAAAAAAAATACATTTCAGTCCTTGTGTTCGTTAAAAGTGGGCTACCAAAATACAAAAGAAACGGAGAAAATGGAATTTCGAGATGCATTTATTTTCATTATATTATTGTCTCAGTATCTCTTATACATATAAGAAAAAAAATATTATTATTATTGTCTCCTATATGTATAAGAAAAAAAATGTTAGGCCTGGTAAGGTCTACACTCATAACGCCCCGTTGCTTTTAAGAGAAAAATATCGATTATATTTTTAAAAATTAGAGTTAATTTTTAAAAAATTCAATTTAAAGATTTATTTAACGGGCACTACTCAAATATCCACACATCAACAGTTAAGTCAACACTTAACCTACTAAAAAAAACATCCATCCCGATAATCATCTCATGCCAACAAAAAACATGATTAATAATTATTCCATCATAATAACAATCCCAACATGAATATATCCAGACATGATAATAATAATCCCAAATTCATCATTCAAATTCGAAATATCAAAGCATGCATAAAAATCCCCAAATACATGGTCTGGTATCCAAAACAAATACTAACAAGTTCGGCAATGAGAAATATAACAAGTAAATAAGCGGAAGCATGAAAAACAGTTCAACAGCAAATAAATGACCCCGCCTCGCTTGTCCTTCGCCACGGCCACCAGCTCAACCTGAAAAGGGGGATTAGTGGGAGTGAGCGACCAACATTCTCACTGTGGGAATACCATGCAGTATAATCAATATAAAAACTTAAAATCATAATCTCAGCATGTAAGCAAATCGACTAGTCTACCCCCTAACATAGCCCTACGCTCATGTGATCACATCTAAACCGTCGGAACACCATCAACGGAAGCAAACCGTCGGAACCCCGTCAACGGGAGAATACTCTCTACAGGCTAGAGTTAGAAGAGGTCGGAAACCCATCAACCGAGATAACACTCTCATAGACTACCGGTTCACATGCATACATTGATTATCAAGCCAAACATTTATAGAAATTAACATATCTGGTAAGGTTTATCAACACCCACCTGATCAATCGAGATAGGCGAAAACACAATGATCGGTAGTACGCAGAGGCTCGACTCCTGCACACCTACATTTAAGCGAGATAATATATTAATAATCTATATCTCTACTCCGAAATTATTTAAAACCCACACTTAATCAAAATTAAGACTTAAGGGTTTTAATAGGATTTTTCGTGGACTTGGAACATCTCGAATTTTTTAAAAGAAAAAGATTCGGAAAAAAAATGAAGTCTCGGGACTTAAAATAATTTTTTCCGGGTTTTTCTCATTTTTATAATAACTTTAAAAATGGATGCGGCACGATAAATAGACTCCCAGAACACAAAAATGGCCGAAAAACTGGACCAAAAATGAGCAAATTTGGGCTTGGTGCGCACCATTGGGCCGAAACACGCACGAATTTGGGCCGGAACCCAAGCTGGGAAACGCGTGGGCCGAAGTGGGGTGGGACGCGGGCTCGCGGGCCAGGATTTGCTGACTGGCAGAGGGCCGAGGCGCGGGCTGTACTAAGGCTACTGGAACTGGGCCGCTGGGAGCATGAAAATGGCCATCCTGGGTTGCTAAGGCTGCGAGCTGGGAAGAAAAATAAATGGCCATAGACTACACAACTGGGAACCGGCCGAATATCGACCACAATTTCAAGCGCGACGGAAGTTGGAAAAATAAAACGAAAGTTACCAATCATAAAACTAATATCACCGGGTTCGAAATCTTATAAAAATCGGGTTTTTACATCGAAAACGAATGACAAAAATACAGCTCGAAAATAACTAACGACAGGCTCGAAACAATGAAACGAGACTCCGCACTTAAAACGAATTAACCACAGCACCAAGAGTTTGATTTTCTCAAAACAATAGGCAATACGAGAGTTCTGATTATCCACGAGAAATTTACGAAAAACTAAACGAACAAAATCGAAATATACGAATCTATAAATAATCCAACGCAAACAACGAGAAACGATTCCACCGTGGGAATTGTTTCAAATGACCTTCTTCATTAACAAAATTGGCCAAATGACCTTTGACTCAAAAGGGAAGAATAAATTAAATGAAAAATGATATTACAAAGTCAATTACTAATATACCCCTTAACATAATTTCCCCCTCTTTCCCCAATTTCCTCTTTCTCCTTCACTCTTCTTTTTCTCTCTCGCCGGCTCACCCTTTCTCTCGCCCTATCGTCACCAGACGTCTCTCTCGCCATCATCTTTTTCGTTGCCTTCTCTCACACAGTCACGATTTGGCCATCAAAGAGGTATGTATCTTTTTGTTTTATGCTTTTGTTTGTGAAAAAAAAAAAAAGAGGATATTCCCAATAGATGACTTATGTTCTCAATACTAATGTGTATATTGCTACTAACAGAAAACCATCAATCAACTTCTGTGTTTAGGGGTTTTTCTTTTGTTTTGTTGGTTTGGTTTTGGTAGTAAGGTTGTGGCAGCCTTATGGTTAGGCTTTATGAGGGGGAATTTCAATTTCTTCCCCATTCTCATTCCTAATATTGTAATTGCTTATTGTTTCTGGTTATTTTGGTGTTGGTGTTGCTTGAGGTTTTTGTTCCAAGATGTATGTTTTCTTTAGGAACCCAATAAGGGATTTCATTAGAGATCTCTCTTGTATTCTGTGTTTTGAGCCTTTTTGACTTGGTGTTGCTTTTGGTTTTTTGGCTAATGGCAAAGGAGGGCAGCTGTGTGGCGGTTGGTGATGTTTGTTATTTGGTGATTTTAAGTGACTTGTTAGTTTATCTTCTGTTCATTTCTATAGTTGTTGTGGTTCTGTTGGTTTTCTCTTGGCAGGGCTGTAGTTAGTTTTGTATAGGTAGGCTTGTTTTGCTCTCCCTCTTGGTCAAGAATGTAATCCCAAGTGGTGATTGTACTCGGTTTTGTGGTTGTTGGAATAAAAGTTCTCAATCGTTAGAAAAAAAAAAAGAATATATACTTATTAAGAAAGCATTAAACACATTTGAGACGAATACCTATATTGCTTAAAATCATCATAGCATCCGTGCTCTGAAAAAATTGAATTGTTTTAGTGAACATAATAGACCACTGTAGGTATACAAGTGTCACGAGACACCCGTTCGTATTTAGTGTCATTAGACTAGAAATGCATAAGAATTGTAAATAATTTCAAGAAGAATCACTAGCAAATTAGTTACATAAACAGGCACATGCTACAATCTTTTGGTGTAATGGGCTTTCTGTGGTTTTACTTGTAATGTGGTTATATGACTATAGAGACTTTATTTGTAAGATGATTATTGCCTGATGCATCCAAAAATTTTATGTCATTGTACTTGTTGGAATGATAACATCACTTATTGTGAATGTATAGGTGTATTTAATTGACCGAGATAAAAATATACCTAAAATGAAGATTCATTTGTTATAGTGTATGAAATAACGAATGCACATTCTTATGTATTAAATTAAAACCAATAACGAGAGTACTTTACAACAATTGTTATAGTAATTTTGGAAACGACATTATATACCTAATTTAAGCTCCTTGTTTGATCTATTTAAGTTTAGTGTTAGTACTTATTGCTTGTTTGATCTATTATGACTTATGTTGTCTTTCTTTTATGTTTTTAGGAACCAAAAAAGAATATGTGTTTGATATACCTTCCAATATGTTGAATGCTAACTACAATGCTGAAAAGTTTGATTGGAAAGGGTTGACATCTCCGAGCCAAAGCAATGGGTACGTATAATATGTATTTTGATCATATTAGGTTTTCAAGTGTATTATGAAACTTGGTAAAGTAATAGAATTTGTACATTTATGTTGCAGGTTTGATTGTGGGATATTTACAATCAAGTTTATAGAATTTTTGCATGCTAGGAAGAATGTTGAAGACGTAGATCAATCTCGGATTAGTGATTGGCGTGTAAAACTAGCGTCTGAAATATTTGGTGCTCATTTTGATCCATAGTTTGGTTTAAACATTCAATATGTCACGGGTTGTAGGGATCTTTTGGATAATACATTTTTGTAGTATTTTTCATGTGTTTTTCAATGCAATGATGCGGGTGGCCGATTTTTGAAGTTGTATTTTTTACGTACTTCCCAATGCAGTGGTTATAATAGTATATTATCAAAATGGTTAAGGATATTACTGTAACGAGAAGTTTTAATGTAATAAATAACGAAGGGGATCGATGCCTAGCTCCCGAAAATAAGTCAAGGAACAGATTACAAGTCGTTTAAAAAATAACGAATGTACAGTCGTTATTTTTTATGAAATAACGAATGTACATTCGTTATTTAAAAAAAATAAAATAAAACTTGCTAGCGACATTCGTCGCGGCCGCGACGTCCTGGCAACCTTCTCTGTCCGACCAAGAACAGGGCCCAGCGTCGCGCCCGCGACACATGTCGCGACCGCGACATATAGTCGTTTCAATATAACGATTGTACAATCGTTATTTTGTATGGTATAACGAATGTACATTCGTTATTGTGAAAAAAAAATTAAAACTTGCTTGTCAACCGCGACGCCCGTCGCGCCCGCGACGTCCTGGCAACCTACTCTGTCCGACCAACAAGGCCAGTGTCACGGCATCGACGGATGACGCGCCCGCGACAAACGTTCGATTTGAAATAATGAATGTACATTCGTTATTTTGAAAAACATGACGAATGTAGTCTCGTTATAGTTATTTTGATCTCGGTCGATTATAAAGAAATCAATCTCGTTATATTACATTTTATGAAATAACAATACGTGTTTCTTTTTTAAAATGGATAGTTAATGAAGAATCGTTAAACTAGTATTTTAACAATAGTCGTGTCGTTTTGGTCGTATTTTAAAGAGCCCGGAGGTGGTGTTGTCGTCGGAGATTGGAGATGAAAGGAACAATTTTCGAGTGGAGCGGTTTTTCTTGCCGGAGTTGGTTTTGAAATGAAATGAGGGGAGAGAGAACCGTGATTTATATATAGGCCCAGGACGTCGCGGACGCGACAAAGGTCGCGGGTACGACACCAAATACGGTGCCTCAGGACCGCGCGACGCCTCATCACGCCTGCGACACCTAGGCTGTCGTGGGCTTGTTATTTTATTTTCTTTTTTTAAATTTTTAATTTTTTTGTTCAACATCAATAAAATGTTACTTGCTTTAATTCCGGAATCTCAACATCGAACTCCTTCATTTACAAGATCTGATCTTTTTTCGATCTTTTTTCGAAAAAAAAAAAAGTGTTGTAATTTCAAAAAAGAGTTTCGTGATGAGTGTTTCGACGCTTTAACAGCTTCAAACTGTAGTTCCAATGACATGTAACATGAATACACAATCGTTATCAAGTAATTCGATAAAAAATGCCATGAAGAAAGCACGTTTGTTGAGAAAAACAACCATTACGAATGTACATTCGTTATGGTTGTTTTTCGACCAAATCCACCTTAAACGATCGTGCATTCATCATATAATACAATATAAAGATATTAAACTCGTTATAGGTCATATTTTGGTCATTGTTAAGTTAAAATAACGAATTTACATTGATATTACATGATCTTTCCATTGTTCAAAAACTTAAAAAAAAACAAGTATTGTTATTTGAAAAAAATAGTTTCTTTATGAGTGTTGCGACGCTCTAACACCTTCAAACTATCGTTTCGATGACATGTAACATTAATATACATGCGTTATCAAGTAATTCGATCAAAAAAACCATAAAGAAATCGCGTTTGTGTCGATAAACAACTATAACGAATGTACATTCGTCATAAAGAATGTGCATTCGTTATGGTTGTTTTTCGACCAAATCCACCTTAAACGACCGTGCATTCGTCATATAATACATTATAAAGATATTAAACTCGTTATAGGTCAAATTTTGGTCATTTTTAAGTTAAAATAATGAATTTACAAAGATATTACATGATCTTTCCATTTTTCAAAAAAAAAAAAAAGTATTGTTATTTCAAAAAAGAGTTTCGTTGTGAGTGTTTCGACGCTCTAACACCTTCAAACTATCGTTTT